TTGATGTCAAAATTCGGCACGCTGGTGCCGTACGAGGCGGGGAAGTTCCTCTGTCGGCGATTGGGGCTCCGACGGCTATTCAAGTAAGGTGCTTGTGTTTTCTGGAGGGGGGATGGAATGCTATCGTAATATCGTAGATTATTTCGGGCTGTTATGGTATAGAAATAGGGGAAGGATTATGTTTCAAATCAACAGTTATATATAGTGAATGTATTGGAATAACGTCACACTAGGCAGTAGGGAATTTCGTTGCCCGAAATGGTAAGCTTATCAATTCACGTATGCCGCACACGTTCGAATCCTACGGATGTCATTTTTAACGCAATTAATATATCAAATTGATTTGCACTGTTGATTCTATGGAAGGGGCTCTGTTGAGAATTTATAATTTTGTACATTGTTGATTTTCAGTGGAAAATTAAAAAAATATAAAAAATATTTTAATATTTTTTATGTAAGTAGTATTTGGTTTTCCAGGTCGGCCGGACTCTCTTCTCACTATCGTGCATACCATCAGTCAAGTTACCGGCGAGTTTCGATGTTGACGACGCAAAAGGTGGGTAGAAGTGGCGATGGTGTGGTATGGTCGAAAAAGGAAGATAATATTTATATGTATATGGCTTTCCCACAGTTGAGCTCATTAGTTATAGAATGCGAGTAGAAGTGTACAGAAAGCAATAAGGAATTCCCAGAGCTAGTTGGAGTAGGAATATATGTTCGCTTTCCTCAGCTGAGCTCAGGAGTTTCCTATACAGTGTTGGAGTAGGAATATATGTTCGCTTTCCTCAGCTGAGCTCAGGAGTTTCCTATACAGTGTTGGAGTAGGAATATATGTTCGCTTTCCTCACCTGAGCTCAGGAGTTTCCTATACAGTGTTGGAGTAGGAATATATGTTCGCTTTCCTCAGCTGAGCTCAGGAGTTTCCTATACAGTGTTGGAGTAGGAATATATGTTCGCTTTCCTCAGCTGAGCTCAGGAGTTTCCTATACAGTGTTGGAGTAGGAATATATGTTCGCTTTCTTCACCTGAGCTCAGGAGTTTCCTATACAGTGTTGGAGTAGGAATATATGTTCGCTTTCCTCAAGCTGAGCTCAGGAGTTTCCACACTAATTATAGACTTCGGGTAGAAGTGTACAGAAACCATCAGGAAATTCTCAAAGTTTTACCATTGTCACCGAGCGCTGAGTATTTTGTCTGATTTCAATTGATCTCAGATTCCGTCGCATCGGAGCATCTCGGTAACGTCCCTCGAGAGTCTTCACTTTCATCACCATCGTTTCTATCAAGTCACTCCATGAATAATGATGATCATCATCGCAATGAAGAACAGCGCAGTTTTCTATCATCGCTCCGTCGTACTACCTCTAACGCTTGGTATGTCACCATGGAGGGCCGCAACCACTCGTCGTGAATCAACTGTCAATTCTCTTCTATGACGGTTACTTTAATTATCAATCATAACGCCATCATTATTTATTGTACATCGTTTCGTCATGTTCACTATATTTTCACCGCCATTTTGAGCTCTCACCGTGCCAGCCGTCTTGGTCGACTTGTCGCGGGTTCTGTATCGTTGACGGGTGCCGCTTTGTATTTTTCGCTATGGGATGCAGTTCTTGCTGCTTGCCTGCGTATGTGTATAATTTCGTGGCGCGCGGTCACGTGAAAGGCGAGTAGTAATATTAGTAGTAATTTTATATGGTGGCTCTAGTCGGTGTTGTGTGTGGGCGTATGCTCCTAAACTAAGAGGCCTGAGTACGCGCTCTTCACATCGGCAAGTGAAAAACACTGAGTATGTTCATAATACTTTTGTTCCTCATAGTAGCACAGCTGTTATTCATAGTAGTGGTGGTTGTTGTTGTTAAGAATCTGTATGCGGTTCCATCGCGCTGTGTTTGTAGAGCAGCAGCAGCAGGCTCGATGAAGACGATGTGGTGATGGTGTGGTATGAGTTGTCTTAGTGATAGCAGCAGTATATTACTTAGTAGAGGCATTCTGTTTATTCTGGCCGTTGAGGTCGGTGGGCAATGTGAATGTTCCTCGCGTGGTTGGTACTGTTTGACGAGCTGATCGTTTCACATTCAATTGGAAAATTGAGTTCATTTTCCTGTTGTGTTTCCGATCAATTTGAGACACCCCGATGAATTGTCATTTTCAATGTTGTGGAGAAACTAAGAGCAGTGTGGGAAAATATGCACTGGTGATGATATGAAAATTGTGAGGAAATCTCGGGAAATTCTTATTGGTTTCCGTACACTCTTTCCCGAATTCGTATATAAACTCCTGAGCTCAGGTGAGGAAAGTGAACATATATATTCCTACTCCAACACTGTATAGGAAACTCCTGAGCTCAGGTGAGGAAAGTGAACATATATTCCTACTCCAACACTGCTGTTAAATGTCATCGTCCTCTTCTGGTCCTCCTGGTGAAGCTGATGCGAGTTGCTCACAAGTGTCTATAGATGCACTAATCGCTCAAGCGGAGGCGATGTGGGAGTTCTACCGCCAATACTGTGCTGTGGTCAACAGGACTGTTGTTGTTATGGAAGAGGTTGATGCAGTTCTCAGCAAGAGGTCTCGGTGTGCACGCATGCACAAAGTAGAACTGCTCAAGCGACGACGACAAGACCTAGTTTTTGATGTGCGACAAGAAACTGCTAAAAGTGAATTTTTGACCGCAAAAATTGCAACAGCTGGTGTCTACCGAGAAAAGTGTTCTGAAAGTGTTATCAAAGTCGCTGGTCGGCAACTTGAATCTTTGGGCTATCGTGTGAAGCTGAGACCGACAGTAATCATTGATAAAAGTGAAAGGGTGCTGAAAAGCCTCGTGTTTTGTCGGTATTATATTCGTCTTATGATGTTGAGGGAAATCACCAACGAGTTGTACCCCATAGAAAATTTCAGTGGACGCTACCGCACGATTAGAGGCTTTCCTATGGTGTCAAGTCGCGACATGATGGCTCAAGAGCAGTTTCCTAGTGTAGCTGCTTTGTATCTATCTCATTTGATTCGTATGCTATCTTATGTGCTGGGAGTTCCCCTCGGGTTCAACAGTACTGACGCCAACCCGATGCGGTTGCTTGCTTCTAGTGATCGTTCTACTGTGCTTCGTGGGTCGAGACTTCTCGAGCCGTGTATGCGAGCTTTACTGCAGGGAAGAGACTGTTATGTCCCTAACATGGCAAGCGGGGAAGTGCTGCCGTTGGAAATGATGGAGATTCTACTCAAGCGAGAGATGCATTCACTGCGGTTTTGATGATGAACAGTTGTTATGTAGCATTGATAGTGTTCACAGTGTCACCGGAAAGTTTCCTTCTCACTATTGGTTTGCATTCATCAGTTGGCATTTTCGGGAGGGAGAAATGTCCTCACCGGGGATCGAACTTGCAGCCTTGCTCCGCTGTAGTCTATAGCGTTTAAGATTTTTGGCATTAGCGCTCGCCATAGCGATCGATTTGTTATCATCGTGGGGGGATTATCGTGAGCTGAGGGATTTGTGTCCTCAAGGATTCCATCTATGTTAGGGTCTAGTTATCGTACGTTTACTAATAATGACTGATACTGCTGAAACTACCACCACTACTGAGCGCGTTTCCTCCTCAACTTGCTTCATCTGCAACGAGCCTGGTCACTTCGCCAGAGATTGCCCTCAGGCTACTAGCAGCAGTCGTGTAAGAATTACGATTGGTGTGGTATGAATATATCTTCTATTAGCCTACTGGTCGTCGCCCTATGAACTGCTACAACTGTGGCAAGCCCGACCATCTCGCTCGTGATTGCCCTAATGAGCAGACCAACCAAAGCCTTGCTTCAAATGCGGTCAAGTCGGTCACTTCGCCAGGTGAGACACAGTCCAGTATTCAGTTATGAATTATCCTCATTTTCTCAGGATTGCACTGCTCCCGATACCCGGGCATGTTTCCGT